GTGGCGAATTCACGGCAGCTGAGTTCATGATGTACTGCGCTGACAAGGGGATTCCGTGCCACTACTCCGCACCCTACTCACCACAGCAGAACGGCATGGTCGAGCGCCATAATCAGACGGTGGTGGCAGCGGCGCGCACTCCTCAAACAATGGCACAAGGCTTAGGAGAAGGTTGATAGATAAGCCTAGTGTTGAAGCACTTGTATCTTACTTTTTCTGCACTTTTTACTTTCCTTGCCTTCCAAGCCTTGTGTTAGGAACATGCTCGTCATCTACTTTAGTGGTTGTAATATGTTGTAGCAAGTGAGTCTCCTTTGCCTATAAAGGGCAAGGAAGTGTCATTGTAAAAATAGGCCATTGCATTTTCCATTCAATCCAAGCGGTCAAGGGCCAAGCTGTGCTCTGGTAGTTCCAGATCTGAATCTGAGATCCAATCAGGCCAACAAGTGCGACTAGCTTGTTTTTTGATATATTCATCCTTACATATCTTTAAAAACATCATGAAGTTATGGTAACCTGGTTTATTGTTTATGCTTTGAAGGTGGTTTCATTCAATGGCGAGAAGCAAGCTATAACAACATATAACAAGTTCATAAGAAAAGCATATGAATTGGCACTACAAGAAGGTGTTGTGAATGGACTTGCATCTGGTTTCTTAGACGCAGCCTTATGTTGTAGTTATGGGTTGGCAATCTGGTATGGATCTGGATTGATAGTTAATCATGGATTTAATGGTGGCATGGTTGTTTCTGTTATAATGGCTGTCATGATGCACTACGAAACTCGAATTGCCCTATAGGTGATGAATTTTTCTGTGCGTTTTTTCGGTACGCACAGAAAAATTACGATTATTCTGTCGTTTCCAAAATATCCCGATAGAAAAATACGAAAACCCACAGAATAATTGTATGATTTTTCTGTGCGTGACAATACACACACGGAAAATCAACACTCATAAAAAAATGCAATTTATTTTGTCGGTTCTTTAAAAACGCACAGAAAAAATATATGCACGCACGAAAAATTCAAATGACCACTAGGATTTGGCATTCGCACTCTCCGATTTGGCGTTCGTGGTTTCCATTTCGGTGTTCGCACATTCTCGTGAAAAGAAAATACTTTAATTAATAAAATAAATAAAAAAACAAAGAAGTCCTAACCCTAACCCACCAGCCGCCGCCCCCAAACACTCTCGCACACGCGCTTGTGGACTCGCCCGCTCGGCTCCTCACGCACGCACGCACACGCTGCGCCGCAGCTACGCACGCACGCCCACCCCACCGCCGTAGCTGCTCCGCACCCATGCCGTCCGCCGCAACCAGGTCGGCAGCCTCTAGATCCACGCCTCCATAAGCTCCTCATGGGCCGCCGCCACTGATTCGGCTCCCTTGCTCTTCCCAGCCCACCGGCGGCCATGCACCCTCTGCCACCGATTCAGCGCCCTCCCTCTACCCAGTCCACTGGCCGTTGGGTGCCAGCCGCTGACCGCCGGTGCCCTGGGGCGCGCCCCCAGGCCCTCCGCCGGTTGTACAGGGTCACAGGACCTTCCCCTCTACTGCTCGTCTCGGCACAATGACCTCCTCTCCCTGTCGGTCTCCCCCGCCCCTACACTTTCATCCTCTAGATCTGGCCACCAGTGCACTGCACTTCGGTCAAGGTACACTTCTCTCTTCACTGATTCTATTTTTTGTATGAGATGCCAGTTTATCTAAGTGTCCACTTGTATGAATTTTCAGTTGAAGTCTGCTTCCCTCAAGATTTGGTCACCGATGCTGTCTACTTCAAATCTGAATCGAGTTTTCAGGTTATCTGTTTCTCCCCTAAAAATGTATGGATAAGTAAAGCATGTTTCCCTTGTCTACCACACCGTGCCATACTCGCCATAGCAGAATGGCGTGGTGGAGCGGCGGAACTGGACCATGGTCGGCATGGCTCGATCCATGATTAAGGCCATGAGCATGCCAGCAAGGTTCTGGGGTGAGGCGGTGACCACAGTGGTGTTCATCCTCAACCGCGCGCCCACAAAGGCCCTGAAGGGCATGACGCCATTCGAAGCTTGGTATGGGCGCAAGTCGAGCGTGTCCTTCCTCAGGACATTCAGCTGCATCGGCCACGTTAGGAAGATGAAGCTGGTCCTCACCAAGCTGGAGGACAGGAGCACACCTAGGCTATGAGGAAGGTACCAACGCGTACCGGCTCTACGACCCATGCGGAGGCAAGGTGGTTGTCTCACGCAATGTCATGTTTGACGAGAAGGCGGCCTGAGACTGGGACAGTCTGGGCACAGGGGAAGCTGGCGGCTTCACTAGCACCTTCGTTGTCGAGCACTTGGTCATCCACGGTGGTGGAGACGTTGGAGAGGAGGTGCCGACCACTCTAGCAACAGAGCCGAGCACACCTGGGGCGGTGCCGAGCACTCCGGGAGGGGTGCCGAGCACTCCGAGAGGGGTGTCGAGCACTCTAGGAGTGGTGCTGAGCGGTCCTGTAGTGGTGTCGACCACTCCAGGACGGGTGCCGAACGCTCCCGTAGCGTAATCGAGAGGTCTTGCAGTGGTGCCAACCACTCCAAGACTGGTGCCGAGCACTACTACAGTGGTGCCAACCACTCCAGGAGTGGTGACGAGTGGTCTAGGAGTAGTGCCGAGCACTGTAGCCAGGGTGCCAAGCACTCCAGGTGTTGTGCCGACCACTCCGGCGAAACAAGGGACACCATCGACGCCGATCGAGTTCGCCTCACCTCCAAGCGACATCACCGAGTTCGTGGATGCCTTCCATGATGGTGAGGAGGTGCGGTTTCGTAGGCTGGACGACATCATCGGTGGCATAGTGTCCTTAGGCCTTGCGGGTCGGCTGCTCAATGACCCAGAGCTGCTTCTCGTTAGTGCAGAGGAACCACCCATATTCGCGTTGGCCGAGCACAATGCAATTTGGCGACGGGCGATACTAGAGGAGATAAAGGCGATCGAGGAAGACAAGACTTGGGAGCTTGCGATCCACCTCCAGGATGTCATCCGATTGGTCTGAAGTGGGTGTACAAGGTCAAGCGGGACGAGCAAGCACCATTGTCAAGCACAAGGCGCGCCTCGTCGCCCATGGCTTTGTCCAGCGCGAGGGCATCGACTTCGAGGAAGTCCTTGAGCCGGTAGCACGTAGGGAGTCTATCCGACTACTGCTGGCTTTGACAACAGCGAAGGACTGGCGCGTCCATCACCTGGACATAAAATCAGCCTTCCTCAATGGCGAGCTGGCGGAGACGGTCTTCGTCATGCAACCTCCGGGTTTCGCCGTCAAGGGAGCGGAGCATAGGGTGCTCTAACTACGTAAGGCGCTCTACAGGCTACGGCAGGCTCCGCGAGCATGGAACGCCAAGTTTGACGCCACGCTGGGCGAGCTTGGGTTCACGCGATGCGCAACCAAGCATGCGCTCTACACATGGCGACTGGGGAAGGAGGAGCTCATCGTCGGCGTGTATGTGGATGACTTGATCATCACCGACGCGCATGCGGAGGACATCGACAGCTTCAAGCGTGAGATGGCGGCTTATTTTCGAATGAGCGATCTCGGCGTGCTCTCCTACTACCTCGGCATCGAGGTGAGACAGGGGAAGGAGGCGCTCACACTCGGTTAGAGCGCGTACGCCTCGAAGCTGTTGGAGTGGAGCGGCATGGCTGAGTGCAAGTCGTGCGTGACTCCGATGGAGGAGCGGCTGAAGCTGACGAAGGTCAGTACCGCAGCAAAGGTAGATGCAACACTCTACCGGATCATCATCGACGGTCTGCGCTACCTAGTCCACACGAGGTTGGACATTGCATTCATCGTGAGCTACGTCAGCCGCTTCATGGAGGATCCCTAAGAGGATCACTAGGCCACGGTGAAGCGGCTGTTGCGCTACGTCAAGGGGATGGTGGATCAGGGGATCGTCTTCCCCAAGACTGGCAAAAGTGGGCTGCAGCTCACTATGTTCAGCGATGCAAACATGGCAGGAGACATCGACGGATGGTGGAGCACCTCTGGCGTGCTCGTCTTCCTCGGGTCAGCTCCAATCTCATGGCTGTCGCTGAAACAGAAGGTGGTGGCGCTGTCCACGTGCGAGGCAAAGTACATAGCGGCAGCCACAGCAGCGTGCCAAGCTGTGTGGCTGCGCCGGCTGCTGGGCAAGATGACCGGTGTGGAAGCTCACCCACCAGCACTGATGGTGGACAACTAGCCCGCCAACGCCCTCGCGAAGAATCCGGTTCTCCACGACCAGAGCAAACACATCGACGTCAAGTTTCACTTCCTCGGGGACTGTGTCGATGGAGGGCAGATCGTCATCGAGTTCGTCGAAACTGGTCGGTAACTCGCGGACGTCCTCACCAAGCCACTCGGCCATCTTCGGTTCACGGAGCTGAATAAGATGATCGGCATGGTGGAGGTTCTAGGGTTAGCAGCGAGATTAGGGGAAGAATTATAAAGTATTATGCTGCTCTCCCTCTGTAAGCGCGGCAGGGACAGGCGCCAAAAGGGCTCCCCTGCTGATGCACTATAGCCGCGGCATGGGCAGACGCCAAAAGGCTCCCCTGCCGCACTGTAGCCACAGCAGGGGCAGACGTCAAAGTCAGCCCTACTGTCATATGTTAGTCACTGTAGCATCATGGCAGCCTGGCATGTCTGTGTCCTACGATTAGATGGGTAGAGTTGTATATATAGTTTCCCACTGTAACTCAGTAAAGAGAGAGTTCAGTTTTGCTATCTTCTCTGTAGAGTCCAGCCAATGCTGGTGCTTGTACTGTGTGTGCGTGCGCTCTGTTCTTCCTCCCTCTTCTACCTCCAGCCGTAGTGTGTGTGGTCGGCAACGACTGTGAGCGGTTGGCTCACCCGTGCGGAAGATCTCGGGGCCACCAGTATCCAGATCTATCAGTAGTAAACCAAGAAGCCAAAGTTTGACTAGGAATTCTAGCGGTAAAATCTCTACCACTTCTGGGCTTAGTGGTAGGCACTCTTTCGTTGCTCCACTTCGAATGCCTGATCCAACAGAATTTAATGATGCTCTAGACTTAGAGGAGAACGCACAGAAAGTACAAAGTGCTTTGAAGAAAGCTCCAATCGGTAGACTCTTCTATTTGAACAAACCAGAGGCTTTTGTTCTTGCACTTGGTTCTATAACTGCTGCAATGGTTGCAGTCCAATTTCCTATATTTGGAACATTGGTTTCAACTGCAATAAAGTCCTTCTACGAGCCGGCAGAAGAACTACTAAAGCACTCCAGGTTTTCGGCAATCATGTTCGTTGCACTGGGCGCTTATGCTTTTGTTCTCAATCCAATAGTGAACATCATGTTCGGAATAGCAGGTGGGAAAGCTTGTGGAGCGTGTACGGTCAATGACCTTCCAAAGCATAATGCGGCAAGAGATCAACTGGTTTGATAAACCTGAACACTCAAGGTATGTATATCCATTTTCTCATCAAGAACATGTTATGTTCCATCCTAGGCTAGGTTTGGATGCAAAGTATCTTTGGATTTTTAGAAGAAGAACACTATTTGTAAAATACTTTGTCCTTGGAGTGAGTATTAACCATTTTCTAGCATTAATTTTCTTAATAGTAGGAAAATAGTTGATATGCTCACGTGATTAAGTTTGGTAACACCACGAAAGTCATGTAATTGTCGACCTGAACGTAGACTATAATACATTATTGTCCTCGCAACAAAAAGAATAGCATTATTATTGGCATATTACTCTTTTGGCGCCAAGAATATTATGTGTGAACCATATCTTGCATGGGTTTCAGTTATATTTCCAACAGTACAAAAATTAGGAATTATCTAGATGAACAGTTATGAATGCTTCTTTGCATGAAAAATACAGTTATGAATGCTAGTTTGTAGTACGAGTTTCAATCCTACTGATGCTCTAATTGTTAAGCGACTTGTCGGGGACACCTTATTATTTAATATCCAGACTATATCAACTATCATATTAGCCTTCAACTGGAAGCTGGCAATGGTGGCCAACTGGAAGCTGGCACTAATTATCACAGTAGTCGTCCCTCTGGTGGGTTTCCAATCTTTTGCTCAGATGAAGCTACTAGTAGGTCTGAACAGAAACGCAAAGGTACATGTAGCTGACTAGTCATGAATATTCTTCATACAATTATTTGTTGCGAGTATATCTATATTTGTGTAATTATTTGGTGGAATGCAGTTGAAGTACGAAGAAGCGAGTCAACTCGCAACTGATGCTGTTGGCGGCATCAGAACTGTGGCAGCATTATGTGCCGAGAAGAACGTGATGGAGATGTATGACAAGAAATGTGAATCTCCAATAAGAGAAGGAATAAGGGAAGGTGTTGTTGGTGGCTTGGGTTTTGGCTTCTCCTTCCTTGTATTCTACTTTGTGTATGCTCTCTGTTTCTATGTTGGCGCTCATTTCGTTCAGCATGGAATCGCGACATTTCCTGAAGTGTTTAGGGTGCGGACACATTTACCCATATATTCTGCACGCATTGATCTTGTTTGTCTTGCATGCGCAGTAGTATTTGGTTAACTGATCGAGAGGTTTTCAGGTCTTCTTCGTATTGGTTTTGGGGACTGGTGCGATCTCTCGAGCCAGCGCTTTAGGTGGAGACACCAATAAGGCTATTGATGCGGCCGTCTCCATCTTTGAAATTCTTGACTCCAAATCCAAGATTGATTACAGCAACGAGGAGGGTGTGACCATTGCAAATGTGAGAGGGGACATTGATTTCCAAAATGTGCGCTTCAAAAGTACTGGGGAATTCCTCGTGTGCCATTAAAAAAGATTGTAATGCTCTGTGAGTCCTTGAAAAAGTTTAGCGGTCTTCAGCGCCACTGCTATAACTTTTTTATGCCCTCCATGCCACTGCCGTCAGTTTGGGCTTTAACGCCGTCAAATTGCAAGTGTGAAAAGTCGAAAATACCCTTAAGTGCAAATATGTCATTTTTTTTAGCATCTTAACGACTTTAAATGAAAAAACTCAAAACTAGAAAGTTGTAGATCTCGTCGAGATCTATAATTTTCATATAAAAATTATTTTCATTTAATTCCGCAAAAAAAAAGATATGATTTTTCTAAGATATATTAATCATATAAAATCATAATTTTTGCAGAATTAAATGAAGATAATTTTTATATGAAAATTATAGATCTCGATGAGATCTACAACTTTCTGGTTTTGAGTTTTTTCATTTGAAGTCGTTAAGATGCTTAAAAAAATTAATGATATATTTAAACTTAAGGGTATTTTCGACTTTTCACACCTGCAGTTTGACGGCGTTAGAGCCCAAACTGACGGTAGTGGCATGGAGGGCATAAAAAAGTTAGAGCAGTGGCGCTGAAGACCGCTGAACTTTTTCAATGACTCACAGGACATTACAATCTTTTTTAATGCCACACAAGAAACTCCCCTGCAAGTATCCATTGCGACCGAATATTCAAATATTCAAGGATCTGTCCCTGAGCATTCCTTCCGGGAAGGTACATATAGTTTCTTATTAATCATCAGAAGAGGTTACAATAAATTTAATTTGAGTACCATAAATATATTATCCTTGCATTGCAGACTGTTGCACTAGTTGGGAAGAGTGGAAGTGGCCAAGTCCACAGCGATTGCCCTCCTTGAGAGGTTCTATGACCCTGATTTCGGCAACATCTTTCTCGACGGTTCGGAAACTCAAGGTTAGCTGGCTTCGACTGCAAGTTGGCCTAGCTGGCCAGGAGCCGGTGCTATTCAACGACACCATCCGTGCCAACATAGCTTATGGGAAGCAAGGCGAGGCATCCGAAGAAGCTATCGTCGCCGCTGCTGAAGCCGCCAATACACATCAGTTCATCTCTGCCTTGCGTAACGGGTACAACACCATCGTCGGAGAGAGGGGAATCCAGTTGTCCGGTGGGCAGAAGCAACGTGTTGCCATCGCGAGGGCCACCGTGAAGGACCCTAGAGTGCTGCTACTGGATGAGGCAACGAGTGCACTGGACGCAGAGTCGGAGCGGGGGTTGCAGCAAGCTCTAGACACGGTAGCCATTGGTAGGACAACGGTGGTGGTTGCGCATCGCTTGTCAACAATCAGAGGCGCGGATATCATTGCTGTCCTTAAGAATGGTACCATAGCTGAGAAAGGCAAGCATGAAGAGTTGATGCAGTTGAAGGACGGATCCTACGCTTCGCTTGTTCAGCTTGGCTCTGCATCCGCATGACCTCATGCATATGGAGACATGGACCTGGACACTATATACCTGTTTGCGATAGACTGGCATCGCCTTGACTACTCCACTACATAATAATATGCAAAAGCTAAGGGTGCTACTCAAGCTTCTATTAATTCCTATAGTCCGGTTCATAAGAATCTGAGTCTACAACTACAGCATGTACCATCCATGTATGTTTGTAGAGAACTTCATTCAATGTGCTTAAAATTTAATTAGCATGTTATTCAAACACTATACATGTTTCACATAGACAAGGAAGGGTTGAACATAGCCTTAAATAGTTACTCCTTCCGTCCCAAAATAAGTGTAACACCCTAAAATTTTACTCTTTTGAAATAGTTTAAAATGATTTAATTATGCCTCTATACATGCATTCAAATGTAGGGGATTAATATTTTTTATCAAATTAAAAGCAACTATAAGGATAGGTACATGATGATGCATTCATTCTGCTGCATATTTATTTTTGTATTGTTTGGTTTTGAGCAAAATTCAAAAAAAAATCAAAATTCTATTGAAAATGCATTTGAAAATTTGTTTAAGAAAAAGAAAAGGATTTCATCCTTCCCCCTCACTCCTTTGGGCCTGGTGGCCATCTCCCCCTCTCGGCGCAGTGGCCCAGCCTGCCCTCAGGCCCAGATCGGCCTCCTCTCTCCCTTCTCGCATGGGCCGCAGCCCAGCAACTAGCAGCAGTCGCAGCCCGCGCCGCCTCCCCTCTCTCCACGCCACTGCTAGGTGGGACCCACATGTCGGCGCTGCCTTCTACCTCCAGCCGACCCTCCCTCTCGATCCGTCATCGCCGGCCACCGCACGACCGCGGCTGCCCGCGTGACCAGGCCCTGCCGTGCAGACCGGGTAGCCCCGCGGACCAAGCCGCACCAATCCCTGGTCCCGCTCCCCTGATCCAATCTCGAGTCCGTCCCTCTCGTTCCGCGCAATACCGAGCCAGCCGCCATTGTCGCTTCGCCGAGCGCTCTCCACCACTCCGCTCCGCTCCGCTCCCCCCCTCTGCTATTTTCAAGTGAACAGGGAGCCTCGCGCTCTCGCCCATCTCCACCCGGCTGCTCCTCACTCTCTCTCCCGCACTGCACCACCGCCGCAAGCCATTGCCTAGCTCCCGATCCGCTCCGCCGCCCTTAACCACCCCTAGCGCAACCACCGTCCTCGATTCGAGCCCGCAGTGCCGTCGCGAAGGCCGAGCGCCGCCCTCCGCCCTGGATACCTCCGCCTGCCGTTTCCCCGTCAAATAGAGCAAGCCGACGAGCTTCTCCAGAACGCCGCCGCCCTCCTCTCCGGGCTGCTCACCGCCCCCGTCCGTCCTCTGTTCACGAAACTGCCCTAGGTGAGTTCTCCGCGCAGCCCTCTCCCTCACCGTGCCATTCTCTTGGCTATCCGCGACCGAAGACGCCGTCTCGGCAAACTCCGGCGAGGAGCAGAGCTCCCAACCATGGCAATCGCCGATGGGACTGCTGTGCCGGCGAGCCCAAACCCCAGATCAAACCTCAGCCACCCATCATGAGATGGACGGTGCGGATTAGAACATACCCCTTACCCCGCCCGTTTTTCTAAAGAGCCCCCGAGCTTTCCTGTAATCTACCTGCAGTCCAGATGACCCCACTAGTCAGCCGCTGTTGCCGCTGCTGTTTTGCTATTAGGCCCCTGAGCTGTGCCATTATAGAATCCACAGTCCACTCCAGTTTCAAAATCTGATTTTTATTTATTTTAATTCGTATATAGTTCGCGTTATTTACAAAACTGCCATCCAGACCTTATAAAACCCATATCTCCTCCGTTTTAAATCCGATTTGAGGGCAATTCGCGTCTAAACATTTTTTTCCACTGTTGGTGTACTGTTCTAATTATAATTCTTGTTTGCTTCGTGCATGATTGCCTATGGATGCTTGTATGTTGATGTATAATCGAGTATAGACGGTGAGCAATACTTCGGAGATCAGGAGCAGTATTTTGAAGACCAGGATTAGCAGGATCCTTTTGAGCAAGGCAACTATAGCATGGGATCATCCTTGTTGTCCTATTCACCTTAATAACATTTTAATCATATGTATGTGTCTACCTTGATACCCATAGAAATTTATCTAGTTATCTTGATATCCTGATTCCTTGATACCTTGGGAAGATATGCATATGGCCGGTAGCTGATGCTAGTGCTCAATTATTTATGATCATGAACTATAACTTGATTAATGAAATATCCAGTGAAAAATAAAAGATGCTTTTTAGCAACGTGAATTAAAGGGTGAGAGCATTTGGCTTTACACATGATGCTCTTGTCCTCTCTAAGGACTTATCTTTAAGTGATCATCCGGGACTTACAGTACAACCATGAGTGTTATATGGCTCTAGCTTTAGTTAAGTATGAGGACCTTTTCTAACTTGTTAGTGGTTACCCGAAAGGGCGCAAAAGGGTCTCGCCGAGACGGGTATAGGACAACCTCTATTCTTATGAGTATAGCCGTGAAGGAATTGTGCCATTTGAAAGGGGTTCCTACATCTGCTTACAGATTAGAAACCTAGCGGCCCTAACTTGTTAGACGAACCTTTAAAAGACTTCATAGTGAACCATGCCGATCTTCCTTGGAAGTGGGTCAAGAGACTAGCTACCTCGGGCGAAAGGGTAAATCACGACTCATGGGTAAAGATGTACAACCTCTGCAGAGTGTTAAAAAATGTTATAACAGCCATGCTCACGGACACGAGCGGCTTGGACTCCTTATGAAATAATGACAAATGATCGATGATGTTTTTAAATGCTATCTCAATATTCATGTTATCAGTTTCATGTGATTAATTGGGGCACTGCTAAACTTGTTGCTGCTAATGCTAAAATGACTCATTAAAATGCTAATCGCTATAAACCTGTGTCTAACCTTTTTGAGCCTCATGAACCCCATGTTATATTTGTTAAGTACGAGATGTACTTATGCTTGTTTATTTTCATTACTTGGACAAAAATTCCGGATGAGTAACAGATTATGGCGGTTGTGATGACTTTTCTGAGGATTACTAGGCTTGTTGTTCACCAGTCAACCGCCCCTGTGGAGTTTGGAGGCTTCACCTGAAGATTAGGACTTAAGTTTCCGCTACTTTGATAATTTTTGTTTCCTTTGTATGGATTATTATTATTCGTTATGTAATAAACTCTGAGCTTGATACAATATAATTTGTCATCTTATGTGTGCGACTAATTCCTGGGCACACATAGGATTCTGCATTCGATTTTATCCTTAAAATCGGGTGTGACAATAAATGATGTTTTAGGTTTGTCCTAAGTTAAATCATTTCAAGTTTGACCAAACTTATAAGAAAGAACATTAATATTTAGGACATTGAACAGGTAGAATATGAAAATACATTTCATGATAAATCTGTAAGGGGTCGTGACGCCTAAGAGGGGAGGTGAATTAGGCAACTTAAACTTCTACTTCTAACTAAGGCCTCTATTTCCACCTAGTCAAAACCTATGCAAGAAAGTAATCTATCTAAATGTGCAACTACGATTTTGCTAGGTGTGTTGCTATCTTTACTGCAAAAGAGTTATGCAACCTAGGTTCCAATTCTATCAACTAGCCTATCAACTAAGTTAGGGAAATAAAGCACATAACCAAGGTAACAAAGTAAATGTAGAAGGTAAAAATGAGATAGAGATACAAACTCCCGTCGACGACCAAATTATTATGATCGTGCTTGTTTTTGGTCCTACAAATTCTCCCCCTTTGGAATCAAACACCGAAAAGGAAGACATTAGTAGCATAAGGGAGGATCAATTTTTGTGATCCTTTGTATGTGGAATGGAGTAGATCACAAAACTTGACTCTCACATTACATAGACTAAGCTCCCTCTAAATATATGCATACATATGATGGAGGGTGAAATATATGCATAATCGGCAAATTAATGTGTGGTGATCATTTGAAGTTTGATGCTTATCTCTAGGGACTCTATTTTCCTTGCAATGAGACTACTGCACACATGATAGGCTTTAAAGGGTGTTAGTCTAAAAGCATCCAACTTATAGAGTAATCTCCCCCTAAATTTGTGCACACAAGTATGATCTACAATTTGGACTTTGTCACATATTAGATAACCAATTGTAAAATAAGCTATGTGCCGTGCTTCTAAACAATTTAAACCATGTAGGTTTGCTCCAAAGGTTAAGAGTGAAACCGAGCAAGCCTACCATATGAATTACCTAGTATATGCATATCAAAAGATTAAACATGCAAATACAAATCTAGGCATGAAAAGGAACTAGATGCTAATTGAGATTGCAAGAAATTAAATCTAGTTACCTAACATGGGAAGGGAAATTTGAGTCTATAGTATTCACTAACCCACTTGGTAATTACATGATCCGATGTGCTGCGCCCCATGAAATGCACCAAACTTGGCCAAGTCTCCAAATTCTCTGAAGTCCATTGGACTTCTTACTTCCCCTTTGGGACCCAAACCTTCTTGGTGCTCTTTATGTTAGAAATGATCTTCTTTGGCACCTAAATGTGTTTGGCCCCTTTGTTGGCTTGCTTGTTCACCTTGATGGCCACCACCTTGTCATTTTTTTTCTTCTTCAAGAGGTAAGGTGTGGAGGCCTTCTTATCCACCTTGTTGGTGTAGGTGTTGGAGAGCTTGCTTGTTTGCTTTTTGTTTTTCTCTTTCTTCTTAGCTCCTCCCCCATTCTTCACCTTGCACTCATAGTACTTGTGGCCTTCCTTGTGGCATACGTAGCAAACCATGGTTTGTCCTTCATCAAGCTTCTTCACTCCCTTGATGGTATTATCTTGATGAAGTTGGGATTGCTCCATTTTGCCTTGCACTTGAGTCAAGTCCTTGGTGAGGTGAGCCACTTCTTGCTTGAGTTGCTCATTCTCCATTGCGACTTCTTGTGTGCATGTATCTACAATAACTTTCTTAACACAAACTTGGTTGCACAAGGGTGAGTCTAAATATAAATCATTGCAAGAATTAGAGG